GAATTTTTACTACCGGTTGTCCGAACTACTCAAAATTTCCGCTACTGGTTCTCCAGAACTGATCAGAACCTGCTGAAACCCACCTCTGTCTCCCTCCCCTTTTCCCTTTCCCTCTCCCTCTCCCTGCGCGTAAAGGGCATTTTTAGGTTAGATGTTAGGAGAAATAGGATTCTATAGTGTGAGGAGTTCCAATTTAATTGAGAACTATTTTGGGGCTAGAAGTCTCTGAACCAGAGTAAATGCCCTAGAAATTTCTAGGTCAGCTCACAATATTGCAACCTGGAATGTTACAACTTGATGCAAAGGGGGAAAGCTTTTGAACACTGCCAAAGAGATGGACTGATTACAAATTGGCATTCCAGTATATACTGTAAGGGTATCTATTATATCCTGTTATATCTATTATATTCTGGGGGCTGGACTAGAAGACCTCCAAGGTCTCTCCCAACTCTATTCTGATTCTGATTTTGATTTTTATTCTGTTGTGCATATCAGTATCAGAGAGACAAATGACATTATGGGTTGCCAGCCTTCAGCATGAAACAGTACTAATTAAAGGAGCTGAATGAATGAATGAATGAATGAATGAATGGAATGAATGAATGAATGAATGAATGAATGAATGAATGCATGCATGCATGCTGTAAATAAATTCATGGACATGTATAGTACATATATTCATGTATAGTATATTAAGTGAAAATTGTGTTTTCAAGTGTGTCTTGATACTTTGGGGTACTAATTAAAGGAGCTGAATGTACTAATTAAAGGAGTTGAATGAATGACCAAATGAACGAATGAATGAATGATGTAAATAAATTCATGGACATGTATAGTATATATATTCATGTATAGTATATTAAGTGAAAATTGTGTTTTCAAGTGTGTCTTGATACTTTGGGGTACTAATTAAAGGAGCTGAATGTACTAATTAAAGGAGCTGAATGAATGAATGAATGAATGAATGAATGAATGAATGAATGCTGTAAATAAATTCATGGACATGTATAGTATATATATATTCATGTATAGTATATTAAATGAAAATTGTGTTTTCAAGTGTTTCTTGATACTTTGGGGTACTAATTAAAGGAGCTGAATGTACTAATTAAAGGAGTTGAATGAATGACCAAATGAACGAATGATGTAAATAAATTCATGGACATGTATAGTATATATATTCATGTATAGTATATTAAATGAAGATTGTGTTTTCAAGTGTGTCTTGATACTTTGGGGTACTAATTAAAGGAGCTGAATGTACAATTAAAGGAGCTGAATGAATGAATGAATGAATGCTGTAAATAAATTCATGGACATGTATAGTATATATATTCATGTATAGTATATTAAATGAAAATTGTGTTTTCAAGTGTTTCTTGATACTTTGGAGTACTAATTAAGGGAGCTGAATGTACTAATTAAAGTAGCTGAATGAATGACCAAATGAACGAATGATGTAAATAAATTCATGGACATGTATACTATATATATTCATGTATAGTATATTAAATGAAAATTGTGTTTTCAAGTGTTTCTTGATACTTTGGGGTACTAATTAAGGAGCTGAATGTACTAATTAAAGGAGCTGAATGAATGAATGAATGCGGTAAATAAATTCATGGACATGTATAGTGTATATATTCATGTATAGTATATTAAATGAAGATTGTGTTTTCAAGTGTGTCTTGATACTTTGGGAACAGGGGTGTAAAACTCCAGGCCTGCGGGCAGATTTGGCCTGTGCTTAGATCTGGCCTGCAGGACTGCCCTGGAGGACAGGTGAAGGACCAGCCCGTGGTACCTCCCAGGCTCCATTTTCAGCCGTGACAGCCTCCTACAGCCCGCTGCCAGTGAAAACAGAGCTCAAGGCGGCTGCACACGGCCCTCCCGAGCTCCATTTTCACTGCCAGAGGGGTGCAGGAGGCTGTCGCAGCCAAAAACTGAGCTGGGGAACTCGTTTTTGCTGGCAGAGTGCTCAGGCCACCACAGGCACCCCTGACGCTAGTGACATCAGGCTGGCCACATACAACCCCTCCCCATTGATGTGGCCCTCAATGAAATCGAGTTTGACACCCCTGCTTTGGGATAACCAAGGTTGTTGTGTACAAATCCAGATCCAGACAGCATCTTTAGCTGACCTTGTTAAGCTTTATTGTGCAAACTCAGCCTCCGTTCGTGTTTAATCAAGCTGATTCATAATCTGTTCTGCTGAAAATCCAGCCAGCTGGATTCAGGAAGTCTCCTAGAAAGTCAGTCATTAACTAGTTCGATAGCCAGTCTGTTCTAATGAAAAGTTAAAAGAGTTGCCATTCCAGAACCATGGGCAGCGCTCTTATTTATTTTATCGGTTAGAGAGCCCTAATTCGTCCTGCAGAAATTGAGCAATACTGGCGGGATTCAGGGGGTGGGATCCTTTGAAAAGATGGAAGGGACAGTGATTCATTCTGGGGTGACTTTCAATAAGATAACTTTTATTGTCACATTTTTTCTGGGAACACACTGGCACACATTAAAAAATGAAATTCTGATGCCCGCTCTCAAAAGAATACACACACATATGCATATACACATGCTATATAGACACACACACATATACAGGACAGGACAGAACGGGACAGAACAGAATAGAATAGAATAACAGAATTGGAAGGGACCTTGTAGGTCATCTAGTCCAACCCCCTGCTCAAGCAAGAAACTCTACACCATTTCTGACAGGTAGCTGTCCAATCTCTGGACAGTCTCTTAGCCTCCAGTCCCCTAATCATCTTTGTTGCTCTTCTCTGCGCTTTTTCTAGAGCCTCAAAATCTTTTTTATAGTGTGGCGACCAAAACTGGACGAAGTATTCTAGATATTTACTTACTAAGGCTTTATAGAGTGTTATTAGTACCTCAGGTGATATTTGATTACACTGACACAGACAGTGTGTATGCGTGTGTATTATACATTGTATATTATATACATACATAAAAATAGAATACCGTGTTTCCCCAAAAATAAGACCCTGTCTTATATTTTTTTTGAGCCCTGAAATAAGCGCTTCGCTTTATTGCCATGCGCTCAAAAGCCCAATTGGGCTTATTATCAGGGGATGTCTTATTTTGGGGGAAACAGGGTAGAAAGAATGGAATGGAATGGAATGGAATCAGGGGTGGGTTCTACTTACTTTTACTACCGGTTCGCAACGGGATCTAAGATCCCGCATGCGCAGATAACCAATGATGACATCCGGGGTGGTGGGCGGGGCCTCCCTGCCGGTTTTACTACTGGTTCTTGTGAACCGGTCCGAACCGGGGGCAACCCACCACTCAATGGAATGGAATGGAATGGAATGGAATGGAATAGAATAGAATAGAATAGAATAGAATAGAATAGAATAGAATAGAATAGAATAGATGTGTATGTATATGTATATTATACACACAAACACACATACACACCCACATATACACATACACACCCACCCCATACATATTAATCGCAGACTATTTAGAATATATAGTGGAAATGTTTGAAAAATCAAGTTTCAGGGCTTCGGGGAGAATACCGTGGAGTTGGAAGAGAGAATAACCTGGCTCACATCCACCTGCATCTCCAAGACCTCTTTTCCCCTGAAAACAGCTTCCAAAGGCACGGGGGAAGGGGGCGGGGGGGGGGGGGGGGGGGGGGCGGCCTTAGAATGTTGGTACCTGGCGTTGCCAGGGACGCCCGCGCGGTTGCTAAGGCGTTAGTGGAGGGACCCTTCCCGGATCTGACGCGCCGGCGCGCTAGCACAAGAGGGGAAATAAACAAGGAGGGAGAGCGAAGGAGGGAGAGCGAGATCAGCTGGCGGAAGGGGGCAGGGAAGCGGCTGCCGGCTTGATCCAGGGCGAGATCTGGTGGGTGATCGGGGAAATAGATCGGTATTTTACTATATTACATTATGCTTATTATATATGTATGGGAGATTTAGAGATTTAGAGAGATTTAGCTTATTGTATGTATGTATGTATATATATATATATCTCGAATTGCTTGATGACCGTATCTTGGACGGAGTTGACTGCGGTGTTGTTGGACTTTTCCAGTCATACAAAGTGCGTGTTTATTTTCGCCGGGGGGAAAAAAAGAGGCTTTACCTGATGGGACTGGAGTCATTTACTCGGTCTCGATCCGGGGAAGTTCTTATTCCTTTTAAAATCTTGTGCAGGGCAGGACTTCCCCCACCCCTCAAGAAAACTCCCCTCCTTCCTCCATTCATCCACGGTTTGCAAATAGGGGGAAAAGCTAATGAATGGGATTGTAAGGGCAATTCCTAATGGATTTCTTTCTTTTTTCTTTCTTTCTTTCTTTCTTTTTCTTTCTTTCCTTCCTTCCCTTCCTCCCCCTCCCTCTTTCTTTCTTTCCTTCCTTCCTCCCTCTTTCCTTCCTTCCTTCCGTTTTCTTTCTTTCTTTCTTTCTCTCCTTCCTTCCTTCCCTCTCTCTCTCTCTTTCTTTCTTTCCTTCCTTCCCTCCCTCCCCCTCCCTCCCTCTTTCTTTCTCTCCTTCCTCCCTCTTTCCTTCCTTCCTTTCTTCCTTTTTCTTTCTTTCTTTCTTTCCTTCCTTCCTTCCCTCCCTCTCTTTCTTTCCTTCCTTCCCTTCCTCTTTCTTTCTCTCCTTCCTCCCTCCCTCCCTCTTTCCTTCTTTCCTCCTTCTTTCTTTCTTTCTTTCTTTATGTCCTTCCTCCCTCCCTTCCTCCCTCCCTCTTTCTTTCTTTCCTTCCTTCCCTCGTTCTTTCTTTTTTTCTTCCTTCCTTCTCTCCCTCCCACCCACCTCCCTCCTTTCTTTTTCTTTTTTCTTTCTTTCCTTCCTTCCTTCCTTCCTCCCTCCCCCTTCCTCCCTTCCTTCCTTCCTTCCTTCCTTCCCCAAATTAAAGCCACAAACTTGCAAGGATGGACTTGTAACTGCATGCGGAGGGCGTGGGGGGGGGAAGGGACCCTGAGATTAAAGGATCATGGGCGGTGTAGTCTCTCTCTACGACTAGAGGGCGCCGGCAAGGGGCAAAGCCGAAGATCAGGGTTGACTCTTCTGCCATCTCATCCATTGCAAATCGGAGAAGGGAAAGATTTCAAGGGGCGGGGGGTGTTGTTTGAGGGAAACAAGGCACCTGGACCGGGGCCCGGTTTATTTAAACCGGAGGGCAACGGAGCTCTTTCCTCTCCCTGAAAAGAGGCTTTGCCCGCGGCTGCTGTGCCTTTAAGAACCGCCCGGTGCGGAGGCAGCTCAGGACTGGGAGCTTTTAAGGGGCTTTTTGCAAAAAAGCCAGGCGGCCGCTCTCTCGCTTTCTCCGCCTCCCTTGCTGGATCTGCACCGGTGCCACAGCCAGAGATGGAGGAGCGACTCATCTGGCCGTGACGTGACCGGGAGTCGCCATTCGCGTGGAATTGTTTTGCACGGTTTGGAGACGCGGGATCGGCGAGGTGATCCACTGGCGACAGGCCTTTCCCTTCGTTTGGGCGGGAGGCCCTGGGAGATCGGAATCCCGATATCTGGCCGGGTCGGGAAATGGAACCACGGTTGTGCTCGATTCTTGCATTCACCCGATGTGGCCTTCACTAGGATGGGTGGGTTGGGTTCACACAATACATTGTGGTCAATCGTGGGTGGCCGGTTAGTAGTTCGTGGTATGGTTAAGATTTGTGCCTGAGGGATTTTTCTGTACAGGTAGTCCTCGACTTACAACAGTTTGACCAGTGACTGCTCAAAGTTACAACAGCACTGAAAAAAAGGGACTTACCAACGTTTTTCACACATAACCATCCCCGTGGTCGTGTGATTAAAATTCAGATGCTTGGCAGGTGACTCATATTTATGACGGTTGCAGTGTCCTGTGGTCATACGGTCACTTTTTGCAACCTTCAGCAAAGTCGATGGGGAAGCCGGATTCACTTAACAACCGTGTCACTCATTTGATCCATTTAACAGCCGTGAGAAGAAAAGGTCGTCAAATGGGGCAAAACTCACTTAACAAATGTCTCGCTTAAGCAGCAAGGAATGTTGGGCTCGGTTGTGGCCGTAAGTCGAAGACTAGCTGTATTGGGCAAAAGGCTTGGGTGTAAGCTGACCGATGACATTTGAGTTTAGGGAGTTATTGAGCCTGCATGGCTGGTGTGTGATGCTATGGGTCAAAGATAAGCCCTTGAAAAAGTGGGGTAATTGTATATTGTGGTGTGTCTTTTCAGGTGCAGGTAACTGTAGCGCTAGCACTACTGTAGGAATTGTTTCCTTTGTAATTAAGTTTAGCTACTGCTGTAGTTAACTTTTGGATTTTCCCATGCCATGATTCACCCTTCATTAGTCAATTTTTCATCTCAGTCATTCTAAAGATCGGCTGACTTTGTCATGCTGCTGCCTTAGGAAACAGGAAGAATAAAAGGCAGCGCTTTTAAAATCTACAAGTGGATGTTTGACATGGTAAATGATTGCCTCGTCACTCACTTTGGTGACATTTGCAGTGCAGGATTCCTGGGTTGTGATCTGGTAACGTGATGGGGAGGGGGAGAAACTCTGAAATTTGGAACCAGATCAGGAAGTGACTACAGTCTGGGGAGAAAAAGGCACTCAGACTTTTCAGATGTCTTATTTCAAAATGGGTTAGGACCTGGGTACTTACGAGATCGCCTTCTGCCACCAATAGCCTCCCACCGGCCAATACGCTCCCACAGAGAGGGACTCCTCAGGGTGCCGTCGGTCAAACAATGTCAACTGGCGATCCCCAGGGGGAGAGCCTTCTCGGTGGGGGCACCTGCCCTCTGGAATGAATTGCCCCTGGAGATACGTATGATCCCTGACCTACGCACCTTTCGCCGTGCCCTCAAGACATTATTGTTTCAACAAGCTGGGCTGGCTTACACATGAATTTTAATGGTTTGTTTTAGTTTTTAATAATATTGGGGCCAAATTATTTAATATGTTTTTAAACTGTTTTTAAATTTTATGGATATATGTGTTTTATTGTTGGCTGTGCACCACCCTGAGTCCCTCGGGAGAAGGGCGGTATAAAAATTTAAATAAATAAATTAAATAAATAAATAAAAACAACAAGAGCAAACTATTGTAGATTTTTTTAAAAAAGTCCCTCACTTGGAGCTCAGAGCTTGCATGAACAAAACAGAGTTGGAAGGGATCTTGGAGGTCTTCTAGTCCAACTCCCTGCTCAGACAGGAAACCCTATACCATTTCAGAGAAACGGTTGTTCAATCTCTTCTTAAAAACTTCCAGTGCTGGAGCATTCACAACTTCTGGAGGCAAGCTGTTCCACTGATTCATTGTTCTGTCAGGAAATTTTTCCTTAGTTCTAGGTTGCTTCTCTCCTTGATTAGTTTCCACCCATTGCTTCTTGTCCTGCATTCAGGTGCTTTGGAGAATAGTTTGACTCCCTCTTCTTTGTGGCAGCCCCTTAGATATTGGAACACAGCTATCATGTCTCCCCTAGTCCTCCTTGTCATTAAACTAGACATACCCAATTCCAGCAACCATTCTTTATATGCATGGTATTAAGGGGAGACATAAATTGTGTGCCTATGTAGAATAGTTCATGTTCCTTGCTTTTAGCCTGTGTGAAGCCAACAATTATGATTTAGCACAGTGGTTCTCAAACTGTGGTCCAGGGGCCATGATGTCATCCCAGGGGGACTTGAAAAAATGGTATGATTTAAATCTTGGTGGGCTGTGGCCATGGTCCATGGCCCCAAAAGGTATTTAAAGGGGATCCGTGGTGAAGAACCACTGATTTAGCATATTGTACATAAGCAGTTGTGACTCATGTACTACAGGTGGTCCTTGACTTATGACCTCAATTGAGCCCAAATTTTACGCTGCTGAGCGAGAAATTTGTTCAGTGAGTTTTGCCCCATTTTGCGACTTTTCTTGCCACCTTTGTTAAATGAATCAGTGCACTTGTTAAATTAGTAACACGGTTGTTAAATGAATCCAGTTTCCCCTTTGACTTTGCTTGTCAGAAGGCCGCAAAAGGGGATCCACATGATCCCGGGACACTGCAAACCGTCATAAATGTGAGTCAGTTGCTAAACGTCTGAATTTTGATCACATGACCATGGGGATGGCGCAACGGTTATTAGTGTGAAAGTGTGACGGTTATAAGTCACTTTTTTTTTAGTGCTGTTGTAACTTTGAATGGTCATTGTGAACTGTGGTAAGTCGTGGACTACCTGAATTTCTTTTTTAAAGTCCATATATTAGGAGAGGAAAATTTATGATGGAGTTGGATAGAAGCTTCTATTTATTTATTTATTTATTGGTTCAATTTATATGCCACCCTTCTCTTGAGACTCAGGGCGGCTTACAATGTGTTAAGCAATAGCCTTCATACTTTTGTATATACCTGCTTAGTAGGGCTTTCGGGCCCCCCCCTAAGCGGTGTTCTTTTTTATACAAAGTCAGCTTATTGCCCCCACAATCCAGGTCCTCAATCTGGGTCCTACCTCAGAAGGATGGAAGGCTGAGTCAACCTTGAGCCTGGTGAGATTTGAACTCGCAGTAATTGCAGGCAGCTAAGTGCTACTTAACAGCACTTTAGTCTGCTGCTCCACCAAGGCTCTTCTGTTAGCCAAGCCAACATAAACAATTCCCAATAGCCTTCTTAGTTGTAGCTGTATCACCATGGACATTTGTACTTTTCCTGGACAAATGAAAATAACAAGCTACATATATTTTAGATATTGCTGTGCTGCATTGGCTTTCAGTGCCACCACTTAGTTTTATCCCTTTGGGGCCTTTCATCTTCCTGCAATTTCTGGCTATCCATCTTCCTCTCCGCTTTTAAAAAGTATCATAACATTTTGCAACCAGTCAGCTAAAGTCTGTGTTAAAACCTGAATTCTGGTTTGATGGCTAGGACCAGTTGTCCTCGACTTATGACCACAATTGAGCCCAAGATTTCTGTTGCTAAGCGAGACAGTTGTTAAGTGAGTTTTGCCCGGTTTTACAACCCTTCTTGCTACAATTTTTTTTTATATATATATTAAATTTCTATACCGCCCTTCTCCCGAAGGACTCAGGGCGGTGAACAGCCACAAGATAAAACAATAAATACAAAAATTTAAAATAGATTAAAAACGAATTAAATAATTTGGCTGAATTTAAAATACCCCATAATTTAAAAACAAATTAAAATTTATATTTAAAAGGGGAGAAGATTTAGGCCAGGCCAGCTTGATGAAATAAAAAAGTCTTAAGCGCGCGACGGAAGGTGCGCAGATCCGGGATCCTCCGTATCTCCGGGGGGAGCTCGTTCCAGATCGTAGGTGCCCCCACAGAGAAGGCTCTCCCCCTAGGGGCCGCCAGTCAACATTGTTTGGCCGACAGCACCCGGAGGAGCCCCTCTCTATGGGAGCGTACTGGCCGGTGGGAGGCTATTGGTAGTAGCAGGCGGTCCCGTAGATAACCAGGTCCTAAGTCATGGAGCGCTTTAAAGGTGATAACCAGAATCTTGAAGCGCACTCGGAAGACCACCGGGAGCCAGTACAGCTCGCACAGGAGAGGTGTTACATGGGAACTCCACGTTGCTCCCATAACCACCCGCACGGCCACACTTGCCGCCAGTTGGAGCCTCCGAGTGCACCTCAAGGGGAGCCCCGTGTAGAGAGCGTTACAATAGTCCAGACGAGAGATGACGAGGGCATGAGTGACCGTGTGTAGGGAGTCCCGATCTAGAAAGGGACGCAACTGGCGGATCAGGCGAACCTGATAAAAAATCCTCCCGGTCACTTGTTAAGTGAATTGCTGCAGTTGTTAAGTTAGGAATGTTATTGTTTCTGGCTTCCCGGTTGACTTCTCAGAAGGTCACCAAAATCATGACATGACCCTGGGCCACTGCCACTGTCATAAATATGAATCAGCTACCAAGCATTTGAATTTTTGATCTGGTGGCCATGGGAATGCTGCAACAGTTGTCAGGGTGAAAAAATAGTCATAAGTTACTTTTTTTTCCAGTTCCGTTGTGACTTTGAATGGTCACTAAATGAAATGTTGTAAGTTGTGGACTACCTACGTGCAGATTTTCAACAAGTTGTTTCTCTTGCTTGATTTGTTATTTGTGATTTTACTAAAGCCCTGACTTATTAGAAGCAGGCAGGGTGGATTTGATTTAAATCGAGTTGATTTAAATCACAATTTAAATCATGATTTAAATCACTAGTAAAAAGGCTGGATTTAAATCAACTCGATTTAAATCATAATTTTTAAAGAGCAACTGTCATCTCTGCTACTCCTTTGACCTGCTGTTGACCCACCGATAGTCCCAGTGTTGCAGAATATACAGCCTCATGCTACATAACTAAGCTCCATTTCAGGCTGAATAAACTAAATTATTTATGTATCTTAAATAGAAAACTATCTTAGGATAGATTTTTACCCCAAAAGTTTTTTATTAAAATAAATTCGATAAAAATCAAAAAAA